TCGACGTCGAGGGCATCCGCACCAGCGCCTCCACCACGCATCGGGATCGGATGGTCATATTGCAATGTACGCCTTGAGCTTGAGCGCTCGTCACCGTCTCGTCTCGTAGACGCATGCTAACTCTCGCCGCAGCAGAGCCGTATCTGGCCTCGAGGCGCATCCGTCGACGTGCAAACTAAGCCCGAGCACGAGCCCACCTCACGCGCTGCCCACTCCGTCGTGCACATCTTCGCCACCGACGCGTACTCGTCACCATCTCGCCATCGACGCCGACGCACACCGCTCGCACGCACATGCCCTGCCCGGCTCACCCACAATACAGGCGCGTTCGAGAAACGAGAAACGAGGGTCGTCGACGCTCGTGAATCAAGGCTCAGGGTCGTTGCTCGAGGCTCGTCGAGCTCGTCTCTACACCCCATCCTCGACCGGACGCTCTCATCGACAGGCAAGACGTGCGCTATGCGACTCGCCTCCTCGTGGACGCGCGCTCAGCGGCGTCAAGCCGTCGAGACGTCGAGGGGTCCAGGCCCACGGCGTCGAGAAAGAACGGACTCGACTCGACTCGCTCAACGTCTCGTAGACGTGCGCAACGCCAACCCCCGCCCCAGCCCCAGCGGGGTATCGGGGTCAAGGCGTCGACGACACGCGCTTTGCGCACGACGCCAAAGAGCAGATTCGACATCTCGTCGTCCCCGCACGTGCTCCTCGCCATCCTCCCTCAAATGAAACGGAGAAGAAACGTTACACACCATATAAAACAACTCATCGCTATACTCCAACGGCGGGGTCTGCGTCGTGCCCGTGACGCCGGTGAGGTTCTTTTGGAGGATCTTGCCGTCGGGGATGGACGCTGCGGGGACGGGGGTGGCTGATTCCTGGTGGGTGGGTTAGCGAGCGAGCTCTGCCTTGTTTTCTTTGGGCGGAAGGGAACGACGGAGCGGGGATGAGGAGGCAGAGGGGAAACAACGGACCTGCGAGTTCCCGCCCACGCGCACGCGTACCGACCCGGCGCGCTGCTGGATATTCGCCATGAGATTGAGGAACGGCACCTGGATGTGCGTCGCGTTTTTGCCCACTGCGTCAAAAATATTAACCTCTCCATTCTCGCTCAAAGTAGGGAGGGACCCGAGGGCAGAGAACACAGACAAAACACGACTCACAAACTTGGTTACTAACACTCATCTCAATACTAAACCCCACGAAATCCCCCCCCTGCACGATACTCACCCCCGGCGTACCCCCATTATTCAGCTGTATCTGAAAGCTACTGGGGACAGCGGGGGTGGGGACGGGCGGCGCGACGAGCGTGGTGGGATTGTACGCCGCTGCGCCCATATAGGCGGACGCAGCAGCGGCGGCGGAGCCGGTGGCGAAGGCTGCTTGGCCAGGGGCTTGGTAGACTGCTATGGCGGCTCGGGCGAGAGGGAGGGCGAGGAAGGTGAGGAGTGGGCGGAGGCGGGCCATGGTGAAAGGGTATGTAGAAGAGAAAGGTGGAGTACAGATGAGAAAGGAATTACCGTCCTAATTGGCGTAGTGACGGGGGGGGGGGGGGGGGGGATTTATTATACTCGCGTGGTCCACAGGCTGAACAACGAGTTTACGGAAGACATACAAGTAGTACTGTAGCGGGTGGTTATCCTCACAGAATTCCACAAGATGCCAACCGAGCACAACATCATTCCAGGGGATCGATCATACAAGACGCTGGCAAACTGTAGACTGGCTGGCCATTTGAATGGCTGGACCTCCGGTTAAAACCTCGTGGGACCTGACCACAAGCGGAGTGCGCAAGTGTACCGGAGGAGTTCTCTCCTCCCAGGTAAAAATCCCCGGTGTCCACCAGTCCACTGAAGGCTGTCATATGTCTTCCCTTTGCAGATGAATGCAAACCACCTGTCTCCAAAGAAACAGACCCAAGGATTTTTGGGCGAGTCGTCCATCAACTGACGACCCGGCAACACAAACATAAAAACAAAAACAATCCCCGAATAAATCGGCTTCAACGGAGGTTGAAGTCCTCTGCGGAAGCAAGTCATGGCTGACCCAGAACAGGTGGCTCCAACAGCAGCATAGGAGTCGCATCGTAAATCCGGAGGACATTGAAGGCCAGTTTCGCCAGGATTGGTGTAACCTCCCTCTTTGCGAGCACTGCTCTGAACATTGACATACCATCGGTGAAAGCGCCTTGGAACTCGGGGCCTTTGTGTACAGCTCGCCAGGAACACCTCGCGAACCCGGTTGAGCTCAACATTGTCGCAAATAAACATCGCGTGGACCGGGTCTTCAATTGAATCCTCGCAGAACCGACATTTACGCCATTCCCGTGGAACTATGGACTTGCCTCTTTCCTTCCATCTGCGGTGTTCGACGGCAAGGCTATGGCTGGAAAGCACCATCCGCGTCAAGGCAAGGCGGTGGTCTGGCGTTTTGACACGAAGATAGTGCCGAAAATCAAGAGACTTCTTGACCAGCTTGCCAGTGTCGCTGTCGAGTTCGAGTCGACCCGCCAGCAAGTCCTTGGTGCGCACCGAGTTCTCAATTTCATTGTCAATCCACGTTTCTATCGATTTCTTGACCAGTCGCTGGTTTCTTCGATGAGAGGCACATCCACTGGCCAGATATATCAAGTTGCACCGGGACGTAAAGACGCGAGAGGACAATCTGCAAGTCATTAACCCATGAGATCCTTTTGGCTCGCGCAAGCTTGAGTGACTCTTCCAGAGCATTCCGTGCCGGCCTATCGTGTCTAGTTCAACCAGTAGCGTAGGTTTTTCAGGGCAAGGTACACCCTCCGATACTGTATAGGCCATATTCCAGTTTCGAAAATAAAATGGCCTTCATAGAGCGAGATCCAACACCAAGCATTCGCCGAAGAAATCTGAGCTGGACCTTCTCAAGTAATTTGAGACTCTTCTTTTCGATGTCAAGGCAAACTTCACATCCCGCCGTCAGATAAGGATCGACACGAGCCATGTACAAAGTGCGCAGTTCCCATGTCGGAAATGTACCCACGAATCGATCCAATCCCAACAGTACGTTCGCCACCTTGGATGCTTTTTTTGCCTTTACTGTGTATTGTTCTCGCCACATGAATTTGCAGCCGGTTTCAAACCAGATTCCAAGGTAGCAGGCCAGCCTTTCCTCTGAGATTACCTTCCCGCCCAAGTGGAATGCAGGATATAATTTTTGGCGGGGTCCGAAGATTTGGTATAGGCATTTTGGGATCGAGGTTTCGCAGCCATTGTTGTTCGCCCAAGTTTGCGTCTGGTTGAGGTGCATTTGAAACCCCGATGGCCCCGTGGATGCAGTCATGACATCGTCTGCATGCTCGACTTGGTTGATAGGCACTCCGTTCAATCGAATATCCTGAGGGTGGTGGGTTAAAATGAAATCCGACATAAAGAGATTCCATAGGTGAGGAGAGCCCGGATCTCCCGTCAAGATACCGAGTAGGGATTCAAATTCAGGGGCGTATCGTCCATCAAGCCGTACAATGTATCGGATTCGGTCATAGAGGCATTTTAGCCATTCAATCATAGGGCCAGAAATACCCAGTGCTGCGGGTTTCACCCAGAGTGTGGATCTGTCCGTGCCCGGAACGCATTCTTCAAGTCCAGGTAAGCGACGTACAACGGTTTCTTCAGTTCCTCAGCTTTATCAATGAGGCAGAGCAACACGAATGCGCTGTCGTTTGTGCGAAGATGAGCCTGGAAGCCGTTCTGAGACTTAGGGATCGCGCCAATATCCTCCGCTCCCTCCCGGTCAATAATTAAGGTGAGCATTTTCAACATGCAGCATTCCAGAGCAAGACGGTGTCGCTGCGACCGAATTGGCGCCGACAACCTATAAATAACTCGACAGCGTGTGGGCTTGGTAACGTGCAATTAAATAACATCTCTTTATTTATAGACGACTGTGGGGTGTCGGTATGATGTCGCGACAGCGCCGAGTGCGATCGGGTGTCGTTCATTGTTAGTTCAACGAGGTTCAACGTTGTTGAACTGGAACGACTCGACGAGCGCTCCGAGCCTTACAGTTGTTGGGAATAAAATTGAGTTGGTCGGTGAATCCCGCTGGAAAGCATCCCTGAAGTACTCAACCAAGAGTCGAAATCACCCAACGAGTGTCATACCACCCTCAGATCCCCGCAAACATAACCCGTTGTCGGCCGCTCACTAGCAGCGCAGATTTCCTGGTCCCGGTAAGCAAAAATTTTATCACACTTACAAGAAGAAATAAATGAGTAAAGGAAGCGGACGTGATGCGCGGCGCACCGCTGCATTTGATTTCGGGATTTGGAGAGAAAATTGAAGCAGTTGAAGGGGTTCGACTCCCCGCGTCCGCATATGTTGATGCATTTGATCAGTTTTTTTTCTTTCTTGCGCGAGTCAGCTGTACAACCGTTTTCAAAACCGCGACTCAATTATGCATGTAAGCCAAAAAGAATTTGAAAACAACGGTCCTAGCTAGCTTTTTCACGTCACGACCCCAATAAAATTATAAAATCCTCCTGCTTGAGGCTCAAGTAAACAAGGGTAGCAAGCGGACGTGCACGGTGCACCGCTGCACTCTATTCAGGCCTTGAAAAACCATTGAAGCCGCTGCTGGGGTTCGACTCCCCGCGTCCACATTGGGCCTCGAGATTTTTTTTGCCATTCAAATGCCTCATTTTTGCTCACCTACAAGACGGACAAAATGAGGGCAGGAAGTGGACGTGGTGTTGGGCGGATCCAGAAATAGATTTGAAGTAGCAACCGGGGTTCAACTCCCCGCGTCTGCATATGTTGATGCATTTGATCAATATTTCTTTTTCTTTTTTCTTTCCACTCTTCAAGCTTTCGAACCATGACTCTATCCTCGCAGTTCCATCTCATTCCTTGTTTAAATGTAAAACAAAGGAATTTTGGCTTGGCCACCTGTCTGTGTATCCTAGCTCTTTTTTACACATTGCACTAAATGAAATTCTCCTAGCTAGCGGCTTGAGGAAATGAGGATAGGAAGCGGACGTAGTGCATGGTGCACCACTGCATTTAGTAGGGAGTATACAGAGATAAACTTGAAGCTGTTGAAGGGGTTCGACTCCCCTCGTCCGCATTCGGTTGGCCCCAGTCTTTTTTTCCTTTCTTTTTTTTTTTCTGTCTCGCAATTCAACGGTCCACTGGCATGAACCGTTATGCAGAGGCGGTACATACCGCATCGTAGTAGCCAATTATCCGGGATCCCGACAATTCCAGGATGAAAAAAGCAGCTAGTGCGGGATGGCTCACAGCACCAATAAAATTATCCCAGATGGCAGCGGGTGGAAGCAGACGTGGTGTACGGTGCACCGCTGCACTCCATAGTCTTGTGGCAGAGAACTTGACTCTGATCCATCTTATGGCTCTTTTCTTCTCATAACACAAGAAAATTATATTATAAAACCATCATATTTGGCAGCTTGAGTAAACAAGAGTAACAAGCGGACGTTGTGCACGGTGCACCACTGCATTTCATTTGGGGATTTGAAGAGAAAATTGAAGCAACTGTCAGGGTTCGACTCCCCACGTCCGCATTCCCAGCAGAAATCATTTTTTTTAGTCTGTCTTGGCTCTTTTTCTTGCGTTCAGTGGGGAAGTAAGGAACTGAAAGGGAGTGCGGACATGGTGCACGGTGCACCACTGCATTTCAGGCCATGCCATCAAAAAACCGAAAATTGAAACAGCGACCGGGGTTCAAGTCCCCACGTCCGCATTTGCTTTACAATTACCCTCGCACTTCCATCCACTAAACAAAGGTACATCTGCCCGCCATCTCACCTCACAACCCTAATAGAATCATCCCATTTACAGCTTAAAGAAATGAGGACAGGAAGCGGACGTGGTGCACGGTGCGCCGCTGCATTAGATAACCCAGTCCCCAGCGTGGAGCAGCTATTGGGGTTCGACTCCCCGCGTCCGCATACGGTTGCCAGAGCTGTTTTTTTTTTGTTGCCACGGTCAACAGTACAGCTGCTTTCAAGCGGCGTCTCTGTTATCCCGACAATTAAAGCTACCTCCAGGAAATCAAGATTCAACTCCGAGACATCTGACCACCTTTTTGCCTCACTACACTGTAACGTAACGAAGGAAGATAAATCATCCCAGTTAGCAGCTTGAGAAAACAAGAATAGGAAGTGGATGTGGCGCGCGGTGCACCGCTGCAATTCATCTGATGGAACTGAACCTAAAAGTTGAAGCAGCTGTCGGGGTTCGACTCCCGCGTCCGTATACTGATTTTATGAACGCTTTTTCTCTCTTTTGCGGTTCGAATACCTTATTTCTATCTCACTCATGGGAAGAAATAAATGACGGTAGGAAGCAGACGTGGTGGACGGGGCACCACTGCATTTCATTTCGGGATTGGGAGAGAAAATTGAAGCAGCTACCGGGGTTCGACTCCGCGCGTCCGCACTGAGAGGAAGGTCGGATCTTTTTCTTTTTCTTTTCCCTGCAATTCAACCGTCCACTGGCATGAAAAGTGCACGGTAAATGGTAAGCAATCCCATCCAGTAAGAATTGAAGCCCGACCGATCTGCCCACCTTTTTCACCTCACAGCACCAATAAAATAATCCTAGATAGCGGCTCAAGCGAACAAAGGTAGCAAGCGAACGTGGTGCACGGCGGATCGCTGCACTCCATCATCATTCGGCATAAATAAAATTGAAGCAGTTGAAGGGTTCGACTACCCGCGTCCGTATTCATCTGGCCCCACTGTTTTTTTTTGGGGGGTCTCGCAATTCAAGGTGCAACATCACTATTCTTACAATTGCAGCCCGTAAGAATTTAAAGTTTGACTCTGATCCATCTTATGGCTCTTTTGTTCTCATGACACCAATAAAATTATATTATAAAGCCATCGTACTTGGCAGCTCAAGAAAACAAGAGTAACAAGGGGACGTGGTGCATGGTGCACCACTGCATTTCATGCCATGCCATCCAAAAAACCGAAAATTGAAACAGCGACCGGGTTCGAGTGCCCACGTCCACATTCGCTGACATTCGCTCTCCAGAATTGTTTTTGCTCCTGTGCTTCGAGCACCTGATTACCATCTCACTTATGAGAGACAATAAATGAGGGTAGCAAGCGGACGTGGTGCATCGTGCACCGCTGCATTTTATTCGACTGATAGCGAAAACCTTCATCAGCAAACCCTGAGGGTCCTTATAGTGTGGGTCTATAGCCCTGTAGCACTACATAGCACTCTATAGTGGACGCTCAACTATGGAGGGCTACAGACTACATAGCACTACAAGAAAAATCAGGGTTTGCTGATGTCACTTGGGGCAGTTGAAGGGGTCGATCATGCGGTAGGGTGTTTGGCCCTGTTTGGCAGGAGCACCCGGCGATTTGGGCCGATTCGGGAGGAGACAAACACCTTCTTTTGTTTGCGCACACTGCGACAGATTATCTCGCGGCTCCCGACAGAGCATCCGTGAGACTAGCCCAATGCCCACGTTAACCCTCGTCGACCAACGGAAACCTGCGAGCCACCCAGGTGTTGTTGCTATTTGCAGGACCATTCGGGGGAACCCCAAACCCCGCCCAAACACCGTCCTCACGGGCACCGAAATTGTGTTTATGAGTTTCGTGGTCGAGGAACGCAACCGACTGATATTGGCCGCCCTGGCGAAGTCTACTTGGACGTAACCTTCCCCTACATCATCTACGTTTTCGTGGACATGGGCTGGGTATCGTAGAACTCAAAGGGCACCGATTGTCAGCTCCTCGCTCAGCATCCGCTTATGCAGGACCGATATTTGTGGACGAGCGGTGATGGATTGGCCTGGCTAACGAATCAGGCACTCAGGCTCGACAAAGTGCGCGTTCCAGTGAATCCAAAAGTAGCCCAAGCAATCGACCAAGTCCTCCTCGCCACTCTCTTGCATTACTCACCAACTCCGACTCTGTCACTAGATTTGGCAGAAAATCAGAAACGGCACGATGCGGAGGTTGAAAGGCATTGTGCCAATGGGGTCCCGGTCGGAGAAGCTCCGGTGCCAACCCAGCGCCCCTGCATCAGGATGCCCAGAAATAAGGCCAGCTCAACGGAGATTAAATCGAATGCGCAGATGAGCCAGTGCCCGTGTCCAGTCCGTATCCTCGACTATTGTTACGGTATCATTCCACTCTAACCAGCAGCGATCTAGTAACCAATAGAGCTTTCGGTTGTTCTCGTTCTGGGTTGAAAAAACGGGAGGAATGACGTACGTCCCCATTGCTACTCGTCGATTTAAAAAAAAGGATTCATTCTTGGCAGTCTCTGCCCAGGTTGAAGTACTCAAACACATGAATTTAACCCTTGGGCGGGATAACGTGAGCCTCAAAACGTTACTTGATGACTCAGGGCGACGGCGTGAGCAGCTAATGTAACATCTTGAGTTATCGTTGTCGAAGGTGCATTGTAATTTGTAGGCCATACGGCGGAATTCCACCACCTAATTTCCATGAAGGAAGGTATAGAGCTAGACCGGAGCTGGTCTGCTCTATGAAGCAAAGCTGTCGATAGACAGACTGGTCGATCTGAGTTTAAAATTGGTTAATGCGCGGAATTACCATAAAGGGCTATTAGATAAGCAGCATCACCGGTCCGATACAACACAGGTAAACAACGCGTCTCTTGCCTTCCGCCAGTATCTACGACGTGCTGGCTCCCTCTATGCTCCTTCTTTCTACCTATGGACACTTATGACACCTCAATATACCAAGAACTCCAAGAAGTTCTCCATGATATCCGACAGACATCACTCCCTGACCTTCATGCCCTCGCACTCGATGTTTTACCCCCAGAACGATACCCGAGTCAATTCATTGACTCTCTAGACGATACCCACAGGACAATATCCCTCAAATCTTTGCTTCTTGTGTACTTTGCAAGCAAATGCTCCATTGTACCGCGCCAGTACCAACTCGAAGCAACCAACGCGCTCGAAGATGGCCGCGACGTCCTTGTCGACTCTGGCACCGGCTCCGGCAAGACTCTATGCCAGATTATTCCGAACCTATTACACCCTAATACCACCTCGATTACGATATCCCCTCTGAAAAGACTGCAGATACTCCAGGTAAGCTTTCGGACTTTTCAATCGCCTGCGACTCACATTGTTTTGTTCAGGTTGCCGAATTTCAGCGGTGGGGTATAAACACTATTTCTATTGATGAAGATACCCCCAATATACTGAGTTATGGAATGTGAGTGCCGCTTGATCTGCCTAGACTGTTATCTCAAACTATGCAGCATATATAAGACGGCTACTTCCACCACCTAATCGTGCAACCGGAACAACTAGGATCGTTCCACGGTCACCTTCCCCGCCTCGCTAGACTTCTAAATTACGCTCAATTCGCAAAGAAGGTCGAACGTGTTCACATCGACGAAATTCACTTTCTTGATACGGCTTGCCTGCTTTCCGCCCTGCTTAGGGCGCTTTAGATGAACTTAGGCTACGCCTTCCCAAAGGGACTCCCATTCAAGCTCTTTCTGGCACGTTACCGCTCCACATAAAGTCCACTGTCATCGAACATTTAAATTTCAACCCCTCTACATTCCTTTCTCTGAAACTCTGCGCTAATCGTCCCAATATCATCTACGCTACACATCGGATCGTCGGCTCCTTGTCAGATATTCGTAATCTGGACTTCCTCATCTCCATCCCATTCACGCGTATAATCAAGGCTGTTGTATATCACGACGACACACAACAATGTGCAGATGCTGCTGCCTACATGGACAGCCGCTTGCCTAAGGAGCTTCGGAATACTGGGATTGTTCGGTGGGATGTCTAAAACATACCTTCAGCAAGTCTTCGACGACTTCTCCAATCCGGATGGCATCTGCCAACAATTACACGCCAATGAAGGCGCATCAAGGGTATTTTTTTATCCCTTTTCACTTCGCACACTCAAGAAAATTTACAGGGCCTACATGTTGATAATATTGTTGCTGTTGTTGACTATGCTTTGCCTCAGAAAAAGCTCACGGGCCTACAGCGTGCTGGGAGGTGCGGCCGACGTGGTCAGATGTCGGTTTACCTTGTAATGGCTGAGCCGTGGGCCTACACATCTTCACTTGACGCTG